CCCATTAAATCACACGACACCGGAATGCATCCGGAGAATTTTCGCTCGAGTAGCGTCTTTCGGTGAGAATTGAATATTTTTTCGACTATTTTTCGTTAACAATCGAACGATGAGAATTTCCCTCGAGCGTTTTGAATATTCTGAATATGAGCTCGTTTCTGTTATTAATGACCGGTATTACCGTTTCACAGTATGTTGTGCAGGCTTGTGAGATTGTATTATTCACGGAAAACGTCCTTGATGGCGTAACTGAGGGGTAAAATGTTCTCTGGGTATTACAATTTTATTTCTAGAGAATGTCCCTACTTTCGAGATATTTTAAATAAAGATTACAGGTTTGATTTATCAAATTGTTATTCCGTTGGAGTTAACGCAAACCTATGTTGTAATATAAACATATTTAAATGTATCTGTATTGCATCAAAATTTACAGTTAACAATTACGTATTGCTGCGAGTATGGGAAAATGGTAATAGTAATGGTAATGCGGCAATATGTTGTGCATCAATTTGCATATCAATTCTCCAAATACAAGAACCGTAAACACTAAAATTACTAATAAAGCTGTTTATCTAATTGCCTATAACTAAAATTTCACCCCATATCATTAACTGATTAAGTAATATATGTATAGATAACCAACTTCGTATTTCAAATTAATCTAATAGTTTTTAAAAAATTGTAAAAACGCCACGCACGTTTTTCGGAAATAGTGTGTTTCACCTCTCGCGTAATTTTCAACATCTAGCCTGATTTACTGGTATCTTTTCCACGGCTGGCCAACTACATAACTCTCGTAATTCTTAACCTGCCCCGTATCTTGAGATTAAGTAGTAAAGTGATGGCGTAAGCAAAATTACATCTTATTTATGTCCTTCTTGACTTCGGATTATGTCTCTAGGAGTTCGGAGTCTGTTATTTATAGAGAAAATTAACGAAATTCAGCAAATTTCTCGTTAGGGTGCCAATGATTAGATGATTACGAGGGTTGTTAAGCTGATACTCGATAATCCTGAAAATTATTATTGGAATTACCTGCCGCATTAATACAGCAACCAACTATATTGAATAACAAAATTTTCATTTTTTAGAAACTTTTTTGAAACAAAGCTTCGTTGGATATAAAGTTAAAAAATGACGATTCAAAACACATAAATTTTCGTCTGCGGCCTTATAATTCATATTTTCTATTTTATTTTATTTTCGGGCAATAAAAATAATGACGGAGACGTTCGGCAGATCTAATAAAACGATATAAATCTGTCATGCGGCAACCGGAGAGATTTCTTAGAGGATATTTTTTCCGAATGATCCTGCCAGCCTGGCAGCCTAGAATTATGGTTTCTCATTGTCTCTCTTGCCGTGTATTCATAGACTTTAATAATACATTTCGTTTCGTAAACCGACAGAGATTCATGTAATACGCTTTTTTCCTGCTTTTTTCAATTCGAGAAGGAGCAAAAAATGTATTGGATGAAGCGCAGTTTGTTTAGTAGGTCAATAAAAACAAACAAAGGATTCGGGATTAACAAAAGTACCTATTCACTTCAAGATCTACAAACTCAAATTGTCTACGGTTTCCATATTAGTATTTTTAGTGGATTTCTATTCGAATTGCGTTCAACGATTGTAATATACATAAATACGGTGCAATTAGTTTAAAATTCAAATGTATCACACCAATATTAATTGAAATATCAAATAAATCACCTAAGCCGTCAGGTTAAAATAACGAATTACTAACATAATTTTAACAAAAGTATTCTTTAAAATAAATACTGTTTACTAAAATATGCACATTCAAATAGTAGAATTTGACTGTTTTTTTGTCTATACATATGTATGTAGGTACATACATAAATATTCATTGTAGCTTTATTGTTGAAACGTATAGAAAGGCGAAATTCCAGTAGAGTAAATTGCAAAGATGGAATGACTGTAATTTAACCATTTAGAAACGTCACATCCATTACGGTCTCGGGTAAAGCAAAAACTTGCCCGATCCTAATGAACGTTATTTCAACCAAAATTATTAATTAATGACAAAAGTCGCTAGAATAATGCAGCATTCGTATAAAATGTAGCGTAAATGTGTCGAAAATTGAATGCGTGCCTGAAAAATGTAATACATTTTTTGAAAATTTAAATCTTCTTAATGTATTGCTTCTTTAAATAAATTAAAAAATGTATAAATAATAGTGAAAATATTTTCCGAGAATACAAATTTGCTGATTTTCACTACAGCGAAGTAATTTTGAAAAGTTCCCATTCAAAACTAATTTTAAGTGCTTTAATAAGACTAAAATGAATATTCCGATACAATTGAAAGTTCAGGATCGACGCTTAAAACGAAACGATTTATTGCCATTTAAAAATATAATATTAAAAGGCGAACTCCGGGAAGCAGCTTTTCTTTAATAAATCCAAGAATAGATTCGCGAAGTGCATGGTGAATTCTATTAACTTAAATAAGAAAACTGTAAAATATTTCACTTCCTTCTAAAATTCGAAGCAATCATATGGGAAAATATCAAATTCGATGTTCAAACAGTTTAATAAGAAGGTACAAGCTAAGAGCACCAAAGCTCAAATTTCGTGAGTTATATGTTTTAAAACAATAATTATGTTAATCTGTTTATTGAAGTTAATTTTATAAAATGAAAGATTTTGTCACTACAATCTACATGTTCAGATTTACCGAACAATACTGTTTTGTAGATGTGATTATTAAACGAAGTACCTACTTATCTCAAAGGAACTCCAAAAATCCCTGTTCTTGCGTTTTTTATCATCTCTGGAGCTGCTTTCCGCCTCGAGCTCTTTAAACAAAGATAAATTTAAGTTCTATATCCGTTTGTGCAAGATAAGCTTCCTGTCATAAGAACATCTGTTCAAGAATGATCAAAATTACTGTCTAAATGATGTTATCAATCAAGTTAATTGTTACACTGATTGCTTGCCTTTATCCTCGGCAGTTGTCTTTCCGTACAATTGGGTTATTTTGCCCAACTTTCTGCGCCTTGACATAGAAACTGAAATTACTTCAGTCTAATTGTGATCAAATATTTTGATTACAACATAGCCATGAAATTGCCCTAAAATAAAAAGGGATCGATAATAACGTAATTACCTGTTATCCGCTGATCGGAAATCAATCGGAAATTTTACGAAGCGAAGGAAACGAGCAAAGGTAAAGTTAGTTATATTTTTTAATTTAATTCCGCATTGTCAACGAAATATCTAATGAAATTTGCCGAAGTAAAGCGGGAGTATAAGAAGGATCCTATCTCTTCTGCTTTTCTGCACTGTAAGTAGATACGTTGTACCTATTGATTGGAAAATTACCTCGCAGCCATCTAATGCAAAATTTTATTTTATACTACGTCGGCCATCGTATAGCCTCTCCGTACGGCTGATGTGAATATTAAAATTCCATTTGAGGCACATTCAAAAGAGAAATTGAAATATGTAGCAGTTCGCTCTCGCTTGTGTTATTATACCTACCAGCGGAGAGAATTCTGTATTATTGTTTAAGCTCAATTGGTATTCTATGGCAGCGATCCGGTAAATATAGAGATTCTCCATATGCAAGATTAAAAGCGTTCCTCAATATCTGACACGTTGCTGAATTTTATTCTTCGGATTTTCAGCGAAAGGTATTTCTCGATTTTTTTTTGCGCTCGTTATCCTTATGATTCTCACCGGTGGAATTACCGACAAGAATCTTCTTCGTTTTATTTCCGGTTGTTACAGCTAGCGTTTTACGAAAAATAAAATGTTATTTTACGATTCATTAACTTGCTTCTTAGAAGTAGTCTTGATTTTAAATTTCATCCAGAAAGTCCGTTGCAATTGCAATTATGAAATGCGGTGAAATTGCAATTATTGAAAATATCAGTGGACATTCTTGTTGCATTTCGCTATTGCATTCTAATTGCGTTGTACTTTTCTGAATAAATCAACCTCCCAACGACAAAGGTTTTTTTCAGATGACTCTCTTTATTAAAACTGAAAAATATTTTAGTTGTTGAGAAGGGTCTGAAAATGGATACATTCAACTTTCAAAGTGTACTTAATGAAAAGTAATTCGACTAGAATTTCCCTTGTTTCTTGGAATTTATTATTCCGAACTTTCCTCATTCCGGAAAGCAAACACAATCCGGTTGTATTCAAACAAAAAAAAAATTTGGTGGAATAAATTGCGAAATAATTATTAGAAAAGTGATTTTACACAAAAACGGAGGGAACAAAACGAAACAAAACCCTCATCGGGATCAAAAGAATAAAGAAGAAGTTAGAGCCGGAAGTTTGTTTAATTAGTTAAGTACTTCATTACTTGATATTACTAATTACACGGTCAAATAGATCTGAGAAAACTTGACTCGCCCGAAACCGGGTAAAAACCTACCCGGATTTCAAACGCTCGCAGAAACAATGAAGCTAATTGCGGCAATTACACGGGAATCGCTGCTTTCCTCCCAGCCGGCTGTTTGACGAGCCACGAGTGTAATCCTCCTCGATGAATAATTTTATTTGCGACGTCGAAATTATGAAAAAGTTGGCGAAATTAGAACGCATCTAATTTTTTATCTCCATCAAGCGCGCCATAAAAAACAAGTCCTTCGCTTTATTGTGGAAGTTCCAATCGAATAATACATCGCGGATCTACTATTGGCAGAAACGAAGACGACATAATAATTCTTTTATAGCAAAACTTGAAGAGTCGATAAATTTGATGATTTTATGCAGATATCTGGAGTTGAAAAAGTATAACAACCATAAATGTTTTTGTTGTTTATTGAAAATGCTGTAGGTATCTACATACAGATTGCTCCATTCTTCATTGCAACTTAGGCTATGGGTGCAACAAAGACAACTTCAATTAGACACTTATAAAGGAAAAAGAAAGAGTGATATTATGTCATTGCAACTTTTCACTCTGACAACTGTTATTTTAATAATCATTCTACTTATAGAAATTGCCGTGTTGCAATCGCGAATGAAACACGGTGTATAATATTTCTAACTATGCAAGTTTTACTGGATAGAATGTTATGTTTTAAAATTGCCGGCAAACGTGCCTTGGAAAGCCGCAAGGTAATTTGAATTATTATCTCTTTTCGATTTTAGACGCCCTGATTGAATGCGAAGCATTAGTGATTCTATTAGTATTCAAGGAAGGAAGTCTCCCTGATTTTTTCATAACGGTTTGGTTAGTCCTATCTTATTTTTTACGGCCCCTAAATATAGGAAATAAATTTTCCTCGGGTCGCGCAAGAATAAACGAAAACGATTATAATATAAATCGATTGGATAAGAGGCATAAAACAACCCCCTTTCAATTGGACGATGATTAGATTTTTTAGATAGCTCGAGAATAAATTTTTTAAATCGATTTCGATGTAAAAACTCTGGCAACACAGACTGGTTGTTCGCGAAAATCGCTAGACAATTTTCTCGACTTATGTGACTAGCAAACAACAATATCTTAAAGAGCGCGATATAAATTTCCGATGGTAAAAACATCGGAAGCAAAAATGTAATTGGAAACGTTCCCTAGACGCGAAACTTGGAATCGCTAAACGCCCAGGCGAGTTTTTAGCAAAAATACCATCATCACTTACAATTCCGGTTGTCACATTAAGCAGAAAAGAGCATTTACCTTTCCACGGTCTAATAACATTTCATCGCAGTCGTGAGCAACCGGTTGAAAGCTCAGCGGTGCTCTCCGGTGCAGCGTCGTCGGGAAACGGAAGTGCATTTAGTCGGCGGAGGTCGGATTTGTTAAGAGGTACAAAACGAAGCCAAGATAAAATCGCGAGAAGAGCCACCGTCGGTTATCCCGGGCGAAGTTTAAAATAACGATTTTTATTCGACGGACGAAACCGGGGCAATAGGAAAACAGATAAATTAAAACTATCTCTTTGCACATCTCTAAGTCGGAATTGAGCACGTCCCACCCGAAAATCTGCCTCTTGAAAGACACGATAAAAGTTCGTTGATATCAGAAAGTGAAAAAAAGCGGGCGATTGCAGGAAACGATCGTTATCCATAAAACTAGATGCACAAAAGCAATTGTATTTTGTACAGGTGCATGCCAATCTAAAAGTTCGAAGTTCGAACTGCATTGGGTTATAAATCAAAATGCTACATGCGGGGCTCGCAATTTTGCAAAACTAATTTCCCAACTTGGCAAAGGGAGTGTAAAAAGAGTAGGAGGAGATGTCACCGAGCTAACTCTTCAAACACACCTTCTCAGAGGCAATTTGTTATTTGTCAGTTACTTCATGTTTCAGGAATTCTCTAGACATTTGACTCGGATTTACCTGCAACTGCGAGAATAGAAGTTTTGGAGATTGCGACGACCTGTCGTTAACTTTTGTTCGCTCAAATCCTGTCAAAAATTTCGATTACTACTGGACTATGTCGTAATTTAAATAACAGATAATACTCTACAAACATGAACTAAGGGGAAATTTTAATTACACTACTGCTGCTTTAAAAAGTTTTCCAATTAAATCGAATAGCAATTTAAAATTTGCAATTTTCATTTACATTTTTGCAATTGAATATAATAGAAAATATTTCCTCGAATTCTTCCGTCATAAACTTCCTAATTAAACTTTTTCCTTACTTAAAAATTGCCAGTGAAATGTATTTGAAATTAAATAAATTTCCGCTGCTCGAAATTTTCTATTGAGAGATAACAAATTATCGTTAAAATGAATTTTAGAAGTTTATTAACTGTCCTATACGAGATCCAGTGTGGGATAATTAACTCGAAAACTCGATATTTAATATATTAAATTGATGATTTATAAATGCCAATTGGATTTTTAATGCGCCCTTATTGGAACATCGACAATTGATTATGTAGTGAAACGAGCCATTTCGTGTAAACTTCAATCCCACTTGCCATTTAATTAAATTATAGACGACACTATTAAGTTCACAAATTATAATTACTAATTTTGTGGATTTAATTTGTTATTCTATAAATTTAGTGAATTCATAAAAAGGGTTAAGTTTGATTTTTGTGAATTTGAAATTCTTAATTTTGTAGTTTTGTATTACTAAATTGTTGTTCAACTTTGGTATGACAATAGTTAATCTGAAAATCTAGTAAAAAAGACAATAAAAAAGGCACATTTCTCGTTAGAGAAAATGTAGTTTTAAGTTCTAATAAAATTGTCAATAGTATACTGAAAGCATGGAAACCTACTCTTCAAATTGAAATTTATTTATTTTTCAATCGCAAAACCAGATTAAGTTCGTAGAAGAGGATTACATTGAATGAATAATGAACTTCTCTAAGGCGATTTTATAGATTCTCTGCAGTTACTCCATCACTTTTTTGCAATTCGTTGTTTGCGGCTCGTCTAACGATATAGACTTGTAAAGTTTAATGAATTCGATGAATAAATAGAGTTATAATCCGTAAAATATTAATAAAACAACGAACCTCATCTGGAACACCAGCGTTTAATGCAGACAGGAATAATCTCGGTTTTCACTGCTGAATTAATAAATCCTCCCGACTGATTTAGCAAACCGAAAATGTGCAAACTTTTATGATCCCCAAGACGGTCGAAAACTCCGAATGCTTTTAGCCCAAATTTTCCATGAATTTTCGTTCACTCGTTTAGAATGCATGGAAATTCGAAGATGGAATAATTAAAACTCGAAAGCGGAAACACGCGTGAATTTAAAAACCCTTGCTTCAATATTGGACAAAAAAATATCGCTGGGCAACACAATCAATAACGATTTCAAACCAATTTGAATGTAAAAGTTGTGTAAATTGAGAATATTTAAGTACCTACACTTTTGCCAATTTTTCACAATATCGTCTCAAAAAGCCCTGATAAAATCAACATAAAAACGTCCAGTAGGTAGTAAAATTTAAACCAAACAAAATTTCGACCTTCCCTTCGCAATTGACTTCCGCCTAATCAAGATTAACCTTTCGGTTTGATTTTATGTTATCCGCCCTTAACCCGACGCGAGGAAGATCGATCTCTTCGCAGTACGCCCAGCCTGAAGAGGTTCGCTTTTTACGCGACGGTGTATAAAAAAATCGTCGTAAATCTCAATCCTTTCATATGCGTTAAGGCAGCCGAGCAATCGTTACGTATTGAATCCCGAGGAATTTTCAATAATCCCCTTTTAAAACGCATTTCAAACGCGCCTGTTCATTGTCGGGCGGGATTCTTTTCGCTCGAAAGTTTCTGCTCGTGGATCGGAAAACAATTTGTTTTCGACGGATTAATCGGTAATTTCAGTATGCCTGGCTTCTTTTTTCGCCGCGATTTCCTTTCGCGATTAAACAATACCCACGTACAGTTTAATCAAAATAGCGGCAGGTATTAAGTTTGTTTCGATATTCCGCTGACTTTATTAAAATGTTTCATCATTGTAAAAGCAACATAATAGTGGAAATAGTTTGCTACATTTAACTGTTAAATCGAGACGAACATCAAAGCAACTATAGGTAGGCAATGGAAATAAACGTAAATTAGCCGATTTAATAATGGATAGGTAGTTGATTGATCGCACTAGAACAATTGTCATCAAAACCCCTGTAGTTGTAACCGCAAATTCCGGTTCTGTAAACCGATATCGCGTATTGACAAGGAGAGTTAAAGCGGAATCCAGTACAGTTTCATATAATAAATCAAACAGCTAAGAGAATGATTAATTAATAAACGTTTCTTGTAAAATATCTAATAATTTTAGATATGTACATATGTGGTTATAATCATTGACCTAAATACGCATAGAAATATTAAACGAGCGACAAAACAAACATTTTCACATCCCCTGCATTTTTTGCATTTTTATTCGGGGTCGCGCATTTTACGGAAGGTATATAAAAAACAACCAGAGTCGGTCGCAGGATATGAATACGAATGCGCGTTATTTAGATAATCTAGATATATGAAGACGGATAACCTAGTGCAATATAACATGTCCGGCATTCTTCAGCGGTAATTCTTGTTTGATTCGTTTTTTAACCCGTTAGATTTAATCGTTCAACCATGCATGCTAAGGTTTATACCCTGGTTTCAAAATAATTGGCAGTGACTAATTTTTCAATTTTTTGAATAATGGTGCAGGAGCTTGACCAGCGATTACCGAGCGACTAAGAGCATTATAGCGATATTAATGCTAGACAGCGCATAGTTGATACCCCTAAAAGAATTTTACTATATTTGTGCTTAAAATCAGTATTTCTACGGAGTGATATTCTATTTTAACACGATTTTTATTATCAAACTTTTTTCGACGCGTCGAATCCGAACGACAGATTTGCTAATATGAAAAACGATTCGTGAGCTGATGCACGGTTCTCATTTTATACGCCTTGAAATGATATACCCTGCTATAGCAAGCGGGAACTTTATTAAAGAATTTTTTTCCTCCATCGAACCTTCGGATTCAATGATAATAAGCCCACAGAAGAATACGGATTCCAGATTTGACGGCATAAAAGAGATGATTTGATAAAAGATATATTATAATGCATCAGATTACCGATGAAAAAACTGTAATAATAGTATATTATTAAACACCCACAGGGCGAACATTTAGATTTCAGCCAACAATAGCTGTTTTAGTTTTAACTAGTTGTTACAAAATCATATTAAGACTCGAAACCGACAATTAATTGTTGAATAAATACAATTTGCGTTTAAATTGTAATATTCAAAACATATTTGCGGATTGCCACTGCTCAAATATTAATATCCGCGACCGCTGCTATCGTGGCAATTATCATGCTTCTGATAGTGACTGCAAATGTTCGAATAATTGAGCAAACACAACGTTCGCATCTGAGACCTTAAACCTCGAATATTAATGTGCATGTGCTCATTTGATCTCCTCTAATGTTGTGCTAGATTTGAAACCGAAATTGGAGCACAAACATTACAAACGTACCTTTAACGAAATTCTCTATATGCAGATGGGAAAGATAGGTGGTTTCCTCGTATAAGTGTCAAAGAAAGGCATTAAAATGAATAAGATGTTTACTTATTGTATTTGTATCGATCGGACGTATTCGACGTTTATTATATTTACTAGAAGGTGAAATAAAACCGAGGCGACCGCACCTCTGCAGAACCGAAAATAAAGAAATAAATCAATTACATCAAGACTGGAGAGTAACGCTATGACACGGTCTGTTAGTTTTCCCGAAAACCTACACCGCTGTCTCTTCGAATCGATACATTCCTTATACGATTTGACAGCTAAAAATGAGAATAAATAAAACAGTAAGTATATCCGGACAGCTAGGAATCCAATATTCAACGATACAGAAACAAAAACGGTTTAAATTCCGCGAGATCCGAACGGCTCCAATTTAGGAGGATACAATTTTTGCCTGAGAGATTCCAATTCACTTTTCAACAAAAAAATGTAACTCAATCCAACTCGAAAGTTAGCAGGGAGAAAATAACTTGCCAAGCAAAAAAAAAAGATTACGTTTATATTTAGTATTTTGCAATGGAAAGGTCAGAAGTCGGACGGAAAATGGAAAAGTGAGAATGACAAAAATAATTCATCGAAAACAAGTAGGTGACAAGGGCTATCCGAACGTGCCAAAATGACTATTGACAAAGGGCATAGCAATAGTACAAGCACAAGTAATTATATTATTCACATCGCCTACTTAAATATTTTTTTATCTTACTTTCGAACATTCTGTGACTAAATAATCAGTATTCCCAGATAGAAGAAACACTAAAAATAAACTGGTCAAGAGGATTGTAAACACCTTAACAACTCTACCGGATTACCGTCGCCCTATCGCGACGAAACCTTCCCTTTGTGTGGTCCTCTTTCCGCGTCGGCCTGTGACCGCATTCGAGATGCATCCCATGGGTTTCCTAGACTCGATTACCGGTTCATTTCCAAGCTATTTGCGAACACTGCGCTTTGATCAACTCGCAGTAATCGAAGCTATCTGCTTTTACTCGATTTATTTGACCCGGAGATCGTCGACGGTGCCTCTGCCGGGGAATTTATGGACAATTAACGGTTAGTCAGCTAGTGGCTATTATACCTATTGGGTATTATGAGGTCCTATCGAATGTGTCACACGTACCCATCATATCGGTATCGGTAAATTGGATTTGCCATTGTGATGTGTAAAAATGTAATGAATCAATTAAACTGTTCCGTCTCGAATTTGAATTTTGAAATAGCCAATAAAAATGTAAAAAATATCTGCAACAAACTCGATTGCTTTTTATATGGCAGCATAAAAAACCACCTTTATTACCAATATATTTTTATCCCTTGATTCTAATCAAATTTAAACTGGTTTATATCATTGTTCGCCTAAGTTTAAGCTCACAACATTATTTGCAGAGCTTTACAGTACAAGTTTGCGAAACTGCTGTTTATCATTAAATAAGATGCATTATCCTCAGATATAATTTAACTTCTCCCCGAGATCACGAATTTAAAC